TCAATTTAACAGTAATTTTAATTATTTTATTTTAAAAAGCATAAAACAATATGTAGTTTACTCACTTGGAGAAGTTGTACAGGTTACACTGATACAGGGAGATGTTTTTCTCTGAGTTCTAAAAACAAAAGACAGCACGGATGAACAACTTGTGTCTGTTTTAAAGTAAGCAATATAACTTTCTTGTAGCTTGCAGCCATTCTGCCCAAAATCTCACTGAGATCAAAACGGTTTTCAGAAGAAAGAGCTGCTCACATGCACATAATAAACTCAGGCATCACCATAAAAAACTATATTCAGCGTAAAGACACTTAATTGCTGAGAAGCAATAACACTGACTACCTCAGCTTAGATCATTTAGTGGTCGTGTTTGCACACATGAAGTTCACCAACCTTGTAAACCTTTGCTCCAGGTATAGCAGGCACAGGCTCCTCACTGTACGTCATGTTGTTCTCCTCAAAAAACTGACGAATAGCCTTTTCAGAAATCTCCACTCCAACCACTGAATGGCCCATGTCTGCTAGCCTGAGAATCACGAAAAAACAAAAGGTTAGCAAAGATGACAACTGACACTAATACTGATCAACTTAATTTAATTTAGTAAGATGTTTTCATACCACTTCATATCTACTGCTTTCCCACACAGAGGGAAGAAGAAGCGAACTCCTGTTCGTCCATTGAGAACTTTATCAATGTTTTTCTTCAGCATTCTGTTAGAAAAACAGTATTAACAGCAAAATACACATTCCTGCTTCAATCTCATGTTGAGGTGATGTCTGGTGATGTCTGGATCAGCCGTATTGATGGTACTTGTCTTAAAAATAGATCATCTAAGCTCACTTTCTAAAGCTTTTAACAGGACACAGCTTTAGGTGGTGATGCACCTTTATAGTTGATGTAATCTTCACAAGTCTTACATGCATTTGGGCTACTTTTGCACCCTCACTCCACTGAACTACATAAAAAAGTGGGGTCATTACTTGTGCACTTCAGGCTGATGGAAGCCGATTTTGTTCTGTTGCCAGCGTTCCTCCCATTCACCGAGGGCCATGACCCGATCTGCCTGCTGTTCCAGCATGCTGGTTATGTTTGCCTGACGATCAGCGGTTAAAGGAGAGCAGCTAGACATGAGAAAAAGAATTGTTTGTGAAAAAAACCACTTCATGTCGCTGGAGACAGGAAGAGAATGCATAATCCGCACAGGATTATGGTCTTGCACATAAAGACACCTACAGCAACAGCAAAATGTAAGCACGTGTGGTTCATGAGCTGTCACCTGCAGGGTTACAAAACCCAACCGATGGGTCATTTGAATCTTCTGGTAGAAAATCATCTGCATTAATCGTGGATCTGCACGAGCTTGTTGTCCCGTTATAAACTAAACTATGGCGTAAAGGGGAAACTATAACCAAACAAATGGTTTGAATAACAGCGTCGTTAAAGCGTCATTCTTAAGCGGAAATGAATAATTATGTAATAGTTTATAACAATAACAATGTCAGATCCTCGCTTACCTTGCAATAGCGCGGCATAAAAACAACCACAGTACTCGTGAAAAGACATTAGAACCGCACATGTTTTCCCGTAAACTCAAAGCGTGTCTCTCCTGAATGAAGGCTGCTAATATTTGTTCAGCAACACAGCTGACCGGGCAAGCTCTCCGATCAATAAACGCAGCGAGGCTCTCCTGAATTCTTACCCCGAGTTCTGTCTGCAAGGCGAGGCGTTCCGTTGAGCTCTCGGTCGGCTGTCTCTCAGTGTTTATAAAGTGCGAGAAGGAATGCTCTGCCTGGGAGAATGAAACGAGGTTTTGAAAATAAAGATCAAGCGGGTTTTATTTCTGGTTTGGGAGGAGCCTGATGATGCATTCATGGTACGTCAGAAAAATGTTACTCAGCATTCTGAGTAACAGTATCTCGTTCTTAAATCATTGCTCAAGATTAAGCAAAGGAATACAACAAAAGAAGATAATGTGAATGTTGTGTGTGTGTGATTAGAACTCTTGGCTAATTTGATGGTACCTTTTATGCAGATGTCTCTGGGTACGCAGGGTTTTGTTTTGTTTTTTGCTATATAAACTCTATCTTGATTTGCAATATGCATACCAGAATTTGCTTTTTAAATTGCCCATGTATTCCTTTGCGATATAAATAATGCACTATTTCCATTATGGACCCCTCTGTTTCTTTCTCTTTTCTGTAAACGCTTGCTGCAATCACGATTCAAACTGTGGCAGCTGTCACTAATCCTCAGAAAGTCTCTGGACTGTTGCACAGTGATTAGTCTCGCTTGTCCAGCCTGCCTCTCTCCACGCTTGGGTTGGTACGGCTCCAGTGATACGATGTTGTCAGCAAGACAATAAGAATTCATAAGGAAGGACGGAAGGGAAAGGTGTTTTCCGGACGCACAGCGGCGCAAGTGTTTAAGAAATCCCGGTTTTACACTGAGGCGCTCTGGCATAGGTCTTTTTTCCGTAGTTTCTACTTCATTAAAAAAAATAAAAAAATACACACACTTCCCTCATGAAAAATAAAATGTTGTAGCTCGTCAAACATGCAAAGATGTGTAAATTTCACCATGTAACATTGAACGACATTACTTCATACAAACATAGGCTACTAGAACACAGCGGCAGTCCATAGGAGAATTCAGATATTATTGGTGTTTGCAAGAGGGGAAAACGGATATTATAAATCTGTAGAATCTGCCCGTTATATGGATATAAGTCTTTGTTGCCAAAAATAAAAAAGAGGCATCTTGCTACACTCTAATTTAATGTAGAGTAATAATGTGTTGTAGCCTATTCTCAACTTGGCCATCAACGAAAAGCTATTTTTAAACAGCTGATAGAACTGCTGAAGCAAGGTTATTCTTCTATACTGGTCTCCCTTATAAAGAACTGTTACCTGCTTATGCTCTGTTTACGCTGGTGTACTGGAAACAATGCTTCCCACCAAGATTGCTATCTTTAGCCAAAATAAACAACGTACTACATTCAACACTCATAGTGAACCACGAGAAAATGTGACGTTCCTCTGTGTTGGTTCAATTCCTGTGCGTAATTCGGGGTTTCCGAAGCGCTCCAGCTGTGCAGGGTCGCGTCCAGATGTGTGTGTTTTTCTTTACGGGGCGACGAAGACGGCGAGGAGCTTCTGACCAATCACCGCCGCCCGGGGGCGGGTCGAGCGTGAACTGTTGTGGATGTGGAAAAATGGACAATTTATCACGCATATTCATCATTCATATCCCAACGGGGAAAGCTTTGGTTGCACGCTGATTTGATTGGCAAATGCCTGGCCGTGGTGTGAAACGGAAAATCACCAGTTGGGAGGAGAAGAGCGCGGTTCGCTACCCGGTAAGGGCGAGCTCTCTGTTGGGGAGAAGTCGGGGCGCTGTGGGGATTGTACTGGGTAATTGCTGCTATGTTTAGAGGCTGTGATTACTGAGGATGCATTTGAGCAGTAAGATTAAAGCAGGTGGATCTGTTGAGATCTAAGAAATAATTTCTGTAGCAATATGTATTTCATATTTTTTCTTTCATCTTGCCCTCTGTCCTGAAGGCGTAAATCACCGCTGCAAGCTCACGCTCTTTAAAAATTCAAGCAAAACGTTTTCAGATTCGCTTTCCACCCGCTTATGATCACGGCACTTGCACTGATAGCCGGGATAATAGCCGGTAAAGTGCGTTTATCTGCTCGAAAGCGGCACCTGACTGCTATTAGCCACTGATGTATTGTTTGCATAGCGCTCAGCGCACCTTTGTTACTCGCTGCTCACTGACACGGGAATCTCAAGTGCTCGTAGCAGCCCTCACCATCCTACTGAACAGTAAATCTCAAAGACTTGTCAGACCGACTCTTGCATGCGATAAGGTCACTGATGCTTAAAGTCATTCTAAGAGCAACAGGGGCACTTCAGTCCACCCCTGGATTACACGAGACTACCAAGCTGCCTGTATTTGGCAGCATGTAAAACCAGGTTGCTGTCGGAGTAGCAGTGCGTGATGGGGAGGCTGTCCATGGTGCTCTGACGGAGAGAGGTGCATGCTGGATAATAATAAAGGAGAACACGCTGTGAGGGATTTGGGAAATTCGGAGGACACGGGGGGGGCGGCGGGACATTCCGCTTTGGCATTGTGAATATTATGTTTTTTATTTTTGGAAGCGCCTGGACTGTGCGTACAGTGTGCGCTATGCCAGAAGGTGGGAACTTAATCATATTGTAAGGCTCCGGATTTGCAAGGCTCCAGAGGAGAAGTTGGTGTCTTGAGCCTCCAGAGCTCGTGTCATCCGAAAAAAGGGGCTACGGCAGAGCCGCAAGACAACACGATCAACAGTTCAAAGCGCAACTGTAGGTATGATTCTGGTTCTGGTTCGGGGGGCACATATCTCAGTGATTTTCTGTGGCATGTTTTGACAGTGAGATTTGCACACCTTATTGACTCCGGTGTAATTTGATACAATAGGATCGTATATAGCTGTGTTTTGTAATTCTATCTACATCTCTGGGATATGGGGGGAAGTCAGCACAGGCTTCTCCCCCTGGACAGATGGGCTGCGGGTTGCTCTGCCACCATCCAAGAATATTAAGCTAAGTAATGTAGTTCAGCTGTCCTACTGTTTCCGCTTGCAAAGTCGTTGGCAGTAATATCAAAACAAGAATCTTTTTACTCCACCATGAAGTCTTTCCAGACATCTTTTTTAATTTGATGGAGATTGTGAACAGACCACAGGCACACTGATTATACAAGGCATGTGTGCACCAGTGGAGTGTGCATATCACTGACTGTATTATGACTTCTTTCTGCTCATCTTCTGATGCAGTCTAAATGGCATTGTTTTGTTCTGATGCCCAGTTGTCTTAGCTAATGCCCATCTCGCGTTAGCTAATAGCTCAGGAAAGACTGGAAAGATTGCCTGCTTTCACATCCCACTAAGTGCTCCACGTATTAATGAATCCCAAAGAAACAAACAAGGCTGGCAGAGTTCATTGCAGCATTTAATTACAAGTCTCTAGTTATTTTGTTCTTTATTTATTTATTTTTGATGAAAAATGATGGTGCTTCCAAACAAAATGCTGTCATTATCACTGAGGTTCCACCCCAAAAGGCTCTCAGGGGAGGCTGTATCTTGACAATAAGCTGTACATGAATTTCATTTGATTTATGAAATGACATTTAATGGCAACCTCCTCATCTTAATAGGATTTCTCATTCATGATGGTTCTGTAATACCTTCCCTCGTGAATAAGACACAAATCTTGTCATGTCAAGCTAGGCGGAATGCATATTCCACGGACAGCAGGAATTTCCAGTCACATGTTCCTTAAGTGAGCTGAGTTTGGAGTTTGCATTGTGCAACCTTTGGACTGTCTGTTGTAGTATTCTATTGTTGGTCATTCTCCTTGTGTAAGTGTGTGTAATGTCTTAAAGAATGTTTTTTGTTACTCTTGTGAAAGCTGCAGTCAGTTGAACAAAAAGACTGTTTAAAAAAAAGTATTTTAAGCACAGGATTAAGACATTCAGAAACGCAGGGCTAATTGAACTCTGCCTGGAATGTTGTTCTTCTTTCTTATCTTAGGGTCAGATCGTATATCTAATCAGGTGTTGTCAAGGTCAGATTGTTTATTCCCATCTGATTAGAGTTCTGTGAGACTGCCTCTAGGCCGAAGCTGCAGAGATAAGATGCGCCGTCGGTAAGATGCGTTGTTAGCAGGACCGGTTAACAAGGCAGATGGATTCGGCTGCATGCTGTTTCTGCTGTGTGCGTTGTCAGGTGCACAGCCAGCCACTGTGCTGTATCAGTGTCCTCTGAAGGCTCTTTTACTCTACATGCTTGGACTGGTGTGCTATTGTTAGTCTCCGCCTGTGCGATATCCGCACATATTCTGTCCCTGTGTTTTAGGACTGTAAACAGCATTGCCAAATTCAGAGAGTGAGCTTGAACTTCCTAATAAGTGTTCCTGCCCATCTTGTTCATTTTGTTAATTAGCCCTTGTGGCGTTGGAGTGCAGCATATTGTTGAGACATAATTAATCAACCGAGCTTGTAATTACGGCGGGTTTGGAATGTGAGCGTGGTTTGGAGGCTGGTTCTGTTGCAGGGCGTTCAGCTTGAGGTAAACATCTTATTAACCGTGTCGGAGTACCTTGGCCAAGGCGGAGCAATGCGGTTTTATTTAGCTGGAGACGAATGTGCTGTTATCCATATTATGAAAATGGCCTCATAAAAGAACCGGTGCTTGATTAAGTTTATGGCCATTATGGTTCTGAGGTGGTCGAGCTAATGGAAAAAGACTTCAGTAGCCGTGTGGAGACAGCAAGAGAGATGATTTTTTTATAAAGTAAAAAGCCATTTGTTCAGCAAAGACCAAAGTGTGTGTGTGTACCTGCTTATATATGCATACAGTGTGTGGGAGTGTAAAGAGCACCTCAATTTCAAAGGGCAACTAGTACGTAAGGACAGAAAATGGAACATGGATCACATCCCAAGCCTTTAATGCAGGTCTGTCAAAGGAGGAAGCCCTTCACAGACTGAGTGATGTGACTACAGACAGGCAAACCCCTCATACTCAGTGACTCCTAATCAGGTTTTACGTTTTGAAAAAGCTATAGAAATGCTTTTGTTTTCCAGGTACTCCGATTTATTATGCCACAGAAAAACACCAAGAACATAAAGTACAAAGAAAC